GTGCTTTGTAAAAATGTTAAATGATTGAAGGGAGTTCATATAATTAAATTTCTGAACACCCCCAAATCAATATCATCAATCATTAATCAATCATCAATAGCAATATCAATATATATCTATAAATCTCATAAAATGAAGGTGATTGGTCACAAATCTCTTCTCTCCCACTGATTAACATATTTTGATATAATATTAATTATCCTCTCCCATTTGTCAATTAATTTTTGTATAACTAATTTAATTTTAGTCTAATATTAATATTACTATTTCATTTGTTAATGTAATTGAATCATTTTTCTGATTGGTTAACATAATTAAATTTATTTGTCCATTTATTTTAATTAATTTTTATCTTTTTACGGGACAATCAATTTAATTTTAATATAATATTAATATTACCATTACTATTTTCGTTAGTTGATATGATCGAATATTTTTTTAATTTATTTTAATTAATTTTGATCTTTTCACGGGATAGTCAATTTAATTTTAATTTAATATCAATATTACTATTTCATTAGTTGATATGATTGATTTTTTTTTATTGATTGATAGAATTTAATTTATTTTAATTGATTTTTATCTTTTCACGGGATGGGAGCATTAAATTTTATTTCAAATTTTTCCTAAGTCACCTATCATGGGGGCATTAACTATGCTATTTTCCATATCCTCGAGTCCCATTAGAGAGTTTCTGTCCTCAATACAAAAATATATCTTGCATCTCTCAGTATCATATGCCCTAATTGATGATTGATCAGCCATTCCATTGAGTAGATTTGTTGCCGACGATGGAGAGCTAGGTAGTCGAGATAGAAGAGTGTTGCGCCTCTTTTTAGTTAATTTCAGAGAAAGGATGTCAGGTTCATCCACATACTTCTTGAAGCATTCGAGAGCTCAACTTCACCGCGCTTGAATGATAGCCTTTAGCACGAGTTTCCTTTTACTGGGTCTGTCACTATGGTGTCCTCTGTAGGAAAAAATGGTAGATTCATTTGCAATTGGGCATTATAAGAGAAGGCATTTCAATTCAAAACTAGCTTCCACTTATGAAGAGAAGTTGTGATGTCACAAGTATGCTGATCATATTCATATGCACACTCATGCTATGCACAATCATGCTCATAAATCAATAGAGAAACTCTACAAAAATTATCCATTTTAGATGTGTCGATATCAATAGCATCAATGATATGTGTTTTAAATTTCTTAATTTCAATTCGTGAACTGCACGAGAAACTGTCTAGTTGATATGATGGCTCATTATGCATATGTGAGATCTTCATATAAATCATTTATTTAAAGCGGATAGTTCTAACCAATTCATTCGACTAAGGGTCTTGTCATAATTTTTTTTATTGAAAATTACAACAACAAAAAATCATCACGATAACAATGAAGTTGGGAAAGGAATTAATAAAAATTCTAAATCATCTCTCTAAATTACTGTGAAATTTGCTTTAAAAAATATTGTATATTTTATAAAAAATAATAAAATGATAAAAAATATTTAAAAAAGAAGAACGTAATAGAAATTTACGTACCTCAATTTGAGAGGATTTAACTGAAATAATGGGTGTTGGGTAAAATATAAAAGTTAAAGGGTTAAGGTACAAATCTGCTCTTAATGTTTTCATCTAAACATACCTCATGTCCTAAATTTTTTTTTAATGCAATTTCACGCTAACATTTTTTATTTTGGTACAATTTTGTCCTGTTGTTAAGATTTGAGCACGTTGACTGTTAGTCAAATATTGACCATTATATGTAGAGTTGGTAGCCATGTGGCATATTTTAAAATTTTAAAATAAAAAATAAACAATCCTCCCCTAGCCAAATCATCAATCTTCTCCCCTCATGCAAATAAGTCTTCCCCACTTAGTTTTCCTCTACAAAATTGAAAGGAAAAACAAGACTTGTAGCATACTCATTCTCCATTCTTCATTCAAAATCAATCACAAAAATGATGAACTCATCGTGCTCTCATAATCCTTTCATCTCACTATCACTGTAGCCATGATGCCTTATTTCCCCTGCACCTTGCCGGACGCTAGCGACTAAGGCAATAAATCAAGATCAACACAACCCAAGCCATAGCAATAAAATTAAAATTCTAAATCTAGCAATCAAACCCGAAACAATCGAAGTAAAATAAACAAATTAAAGTAAAATAAACAAACCCATATTCAGCAATCTTCGCCCCTTATCTCTATCCCATTTTATAAGAAAATAAACAAATGAAAGTAAATTTTTTAAGCTACAGTTTGCCTTTTAAAACCCAAATAATTTGAAGTAAAATTTATACATGAGGCATGAAAACAATCATATAATGATTTCAAAACAGATAGAATCTATAAATTTTGGAACCCATAAATTTTCAAAATAATTAGAGTTCGGCATCAGCATCACACTACTCAGTCCCTTCCTTTATCTTAATCTATCTCTATCGCACCACTCCATCCCTTCCTTAATCTCGATCTATCACCTACGATGCTCAATTGTGTTTAGGCATTTGGAATCACTTCAAATCAAAATATATGCTGCCCTCTTCTAATAGCATTGAATCCTTCTATCTCTTAATCCCTCAGCTAATTTGGATCTTGTGTTTCCCTCTAGCCATGGGTATCATTTGAGGAAACCATTTACGTGATTGGGTGAGGAAACAAGTTAGTGACTAACTATGCTACTAGGTGCTCGAAGAAGAAGGATATGCAAAGAGTCAGCAATTTTAAAGATAAAGAAATGGCTATTGCACAAATGGGATGAGTTGGGTCTATTTAGAGGAGAGAAGTCAAAGGTTAAAGGAGAGAAGTACCATATGGACAACTTGTATGGCAGATAATAGTCAAATCTTTTGAGTTAATGGCCAACACAATCAAATTCTAATGGAAGGGCGAGATTGTACCTAAATTAAAAACATCAGGGTGTAATTGTGCCAAAAATTAGTTTAGGATATGGGGTGCGCCTATGGGGAAACATCGTTTGTACCTTAACCCAAAGCTAAAACCATGCCGTACAATAATTGGTGAAACTATCAAAGTTTGAATTTTGAAACCAACTTGCATTTGTATTTAATTGACATGAAGTTAGATTTTTTTTAAAAATAAATCTTTAAATACTAAAAACCTAAAGCTAGGTCAATTTCTATCATCTTTTTTCTTTTAAAATTCCTAAACATTGAAAAAGACAATTGAATTAAAAGTTTTTTCAAATATTTTAGATATCTCCCAAGTATAGCAACAAGACTTATAGATATCTTGAAAAGACTTAGCATTTGTTGGGATAAAAAATCTAACAAGGTTAATGTTTACTTTAACTCTATAGAAACTTTCACGTTAATATGCAATGAGTTCTTTGCAAATCAACAAAAACAAAAATATTGTCATGAGAGATTGGACGGTCATATTTAATAACGTTTATAGAAAAACAAATAAATGCACAAATTGGTTAGCTCATTAGGCTTTTATCGACAATTCAAATGTTCACATTTTTAATACTCCATCTTTTAATTGTAAAAATCTTTTGTAAGCTAACATAAAACATCTTGTCACTTAGCATGGTTTTTTCATGGCATTTTATTCAAAAAAAAATCCTAAACACAGTTGCCATTTGTTTTAAAGGTATATTTAAAAAGTATTTTCCTAGCCTTATTTACAGGATAAAAATATTTATTTTAGTTATATTTATACGATGTTTGTATGATTTGTGTATACATTTCTACGCTCTTGTCCCTATTAAATGCATATTATCAGATGTCAAGTATTTTATTTCTAAAATATATTATCTCCGATCAAAAATATAAATATCTCCTGACAATATACTCATATTAAGAATTTTTATTCTCATAAAAATATACATTATTTTTCCTTTGTATCCCTAGTTTCAATTCATGATGAATGATAACAATATTATGAATTTATAAACAGGAGAATCTATGTTAATAAATATAGAGGTAAGATGCGAAATTGTTTTTTACAAATATTAAGTTGTTTATATTTTAGATTAGAATTACCGGAGACAAAATACTTATATTTTGAATTGAATGGAGCATATATTTAAGGGAAAATGACAAAAAAGTTTCAAAAGGATCAACTAAGTCAAGTTAGATCTCACGTGCTAAATTTTAAAAATTTACAATTCAATTTTTTAATTTTGCAACTCAGTTGTAATGAATTTGCAACTTATATTTTAAATTTCAACAAAAAAAATAAATTTTTAAATTCTCTAACCATGTTAAAATTTAAAAAATAAGTTGTAAATTCATTACAACTCAATTGCAAAATTGAGAGAGATTAAGTTATAAATTTTTAAAATTTGATACTTGCGACCTAACTTAAATTAATTGATCATTTTGGGACCTTTTTATCATTCTCCCTATATTTAATAGGGATAATGTTAAAAATTATTAAATTTTCAGATAAAATTAATAAAATTTAATATATATTTTTTAATTCTAATAAAACATATTCAAAATGATTTATAAATAATACGAGAAGGAGTATAATATTACCAAAATAAAGTAGAAAAGATATAAAAGGAAAAGCTCATTTACGACTAATGGCATGGGAGACTACAGGAGAACAATATCTCCCCCCCCCCCCCCAAAAAACCAAGTTGCTGACCTTTGAATAAGAAAGGCCATGTGCATCGCTCTTTTTTCGGGGAGCACAATGCCATAGTCCGTGTCAAAATCCCAGTTGCTCGGTGCGCTGCTCATACAATGACAGTGATAGGTCACTTGTTTGTAGTCACATTTCAACTGCGAATTTTTTCCCAAAAACTATATCCAAGAGAGTTCCAGCAATAAAGAATCTCAAATGCTTTATTTTATTCTTTTTTTTTAGAAGGGGAAGATTGAGTTAATAAAAACTCATTATATATAGAAAGTATTGGATTTGAGCTTCTTCCTTACATGGAGAAAGACTCAATATTAAAATTCATTGTGAGCGTCACTGAATAAAATGAAGAGTGGATTAAATTAGATAATACTAGAGATGTCATATTTAATCTTAATACTTTATGTGTCGCCATTACATTTTTGCGTATTGCACGAAGTATGAAACCCATACATCTCGTTTTTTGTAGGAGAAGTTCCAATTACACGAAGCCAGAATTGAGAAGGCATTGAAGAAACCCTTTGGACTGTTTATCCTATAGAGGGAATGAAAAGAACGAGTAATGCTTTTTGAGAGTGCAAAGCAGGAAGGAAGCAGTACTCACAAAGCACAGACAAAATCACCGCTTGTCTCGAAATCATCGATGTCAGCATCAGTATCCATCTCATCAAGATCCATGCTTCCAATCCCAACAAACTGCCCACCAACTTTTTGGCCTTGATCCCCTGCTTTTCGAGCGTTTTGGATTATACTCGATATTTCTTCGATGCTCTGCCACTCGCACGAATCGTTCACTTCATCTTCCCGCACCCCACTTTGTCTTCCTTCGTCCATGAATTCTAGCGGCAAGTTCTTCAGGAACCACGGGTGCATTTTAATTTCTGGGATCGTAATTCTCTGCAAATTAACAGCTCGTCATCAAATAAGATAACAGATGAAATAAGTATTCAAAAAAATACAATCATTATATACAAACAAAGTATACCTTCTCCGGGTCGGCCACAAATATTCTAGATAGAAGGTGTTTACACTCTTTTGAAATACGAACATAGTCCGGTACAGAATAGTGGACGCTGAGAATTCTCTGTCAGAATATCCAAACAGTTGGTGAATAGTTCTGTTACCCGAGGCAGGGAAGCAATTTAACTGGGAAATCATAATATTCAGATTCCAACTAACCTGAAGTGTTTTTCTGAAGTTCTTAGGATCTTCATGATCTTCAAAAGGATAAGCACCAACCAGCATGACATACAAGGTCACGCCACAAGACCAAACATCTGCAACCTAATTATTCTCAAAAACAGTGTTTCAGTATAAGTCAGTATTAATTTAATTATAGGTGTATATTTATGGTGAAACAGCGCTGATTATATTTGATTAGAAATTAAGAAAAAAGATGGACTGCGAAAAGAATTAAATTACCTTTCCATCATATTCTCTTCGTGACAAAACCTCTGGCGCAATATAAGCAGGGGTTCCTACAGTAGATTTGGGCTGAGAGTGCAGAACAGATGACTGAAGAAAAGAGGCGGAACACTTGGTAACAAGGTCTAATTTGACTCTGAACGTGTTCAATTAATTTAAGAGAAAAGTTCTTGCCTTTGAGTAGCCAAAGTCGCAAACTTTGAGCCTTGGTGCAGCGCTTCCATCTAAGAGTGTGTTTTCTAGCTTAAGATCTCTGTGGCAAATTTCCTGCATGATAAAGGGATATCCAACTCAGCTAAAGTAGGAAGGCTCAAATTGATACATTTATTAGAAACTGGTTTTTGATTCAGATTGGACAAGAATTTTACCATTGAATGACAATAGCTGACTCCAGAAATCAACTGCTGAAAGAAATACCTTGCCTATGCAAGCAAATGAAGCATTTAGATGATTTTTTTTTTCAGGTATTTAGAATATGAAATACAATATTATACACTGCTCAATCACTGATTGTTAATAATAGATTTTTTCACTATTACAATACTGTATATAATGGGGGCAAAATATCAGCACTGTTAAATGCAATAAAAATGAAAATCCTATGAGTAAAATATGTGCAACGATGGGGCCTAGTCTCTGTTGGACACTGTTGGAAACCAACATATCAACAACTTGCACTTCAAAATTTCAACAAGGAGATAGTTTATTTGTCGAAGCAGAGATAATCATCCCCCAGTCCTACTTTCTTTATTGTAGGATATACTGTGGATACAATCTTTAATTATATCTTGGAATTTAGTAACATAATGGCCTCTTCGACAAAGCACTATCATAAAGTGATTTAAGCTTTCAAATGATATACCTCATCTTCGCTGAATCTGCCCGCATTGCATATTCTTTCAAAGAGTTCTCCTCCAGCGGCATATTCCATCACTATGGCAAGATGGGTCGGAGTGAGCAACACCTGGGATGAATGGCTGTTTCAATTTAATCACCTTAAATTTTACTTGTAAGCTTCCAAGGCAAGAGGTGCTAAATAATTGTTTTGTTGCCCGCAAAATAAAAAATAAAAAATAAAAACACCAAATGATCATTTTCGTTAGCAGAGGCAGAGGATTTAAGAAACCATCTTCGGTTCGTTTTCGACGATTCTGATCATTGCTTCCTAGCACAGAGATAGAGAACCAGGGCTAGGGGCATCGTCCGCGAATAACAGATCATGGTTCCATTATTTTCTTTTCATGAATACTCATTGTATTTTGGGTTAAGGACTGAAACACCGAACAGTAAACAACGTCGCCCTACGCACGATTAATGAATGACACTAGAGTACTAGAGAATGGAGACTTAGACGTATATATGGATTTGGTGCAGTATTGCATGGAAAGTTTAGGAATGAAAATATTCTATTTTCAGAAAGTTCGAAAGCAGCAAGAGCTCGGGAAGGAAAGGAAAAATGAGTTCCTATATTGGTTTGGATTTTAGAAAAAGGAACACCAGTTCAGAAAACCTGTTAGCTCTGCTGAGACAACAGGCATAAGTAAGGTCACTCTCGTTTGCTTCCAAGGTTACCCAATGAGGCCGTAGATGAGTCTTACCTCTTTGAATCTAATGATATTGGGATGCTTCAAGGACCTATGGTTTATGATCTCCCTTTGCACATGCTCATCAATCTGCGAAGATCAGAAGAAACCAAGTAATGTTCCCAAAGGACTGTAAAAGCAGTCCAGAATGCATAGAACATGGCAACTATTTGGCAAGAATGAGGAGGACAGATCACATATAGGAAGAAAACCATGGAGTTTGAAAGTAGGACCTTTGTGCCTCGCTCAATAAACTTGATAGCATATAAGTCACCACTACGTTTCTCTCTCACCAGCTTTGCCACGCCAAAGTTCCCTGACCCAATATCTTTGATTATATCATACCGTTCCATTGTTGTATCGGCAAGCCTTCAAAGCTTTAGCAGTCGGCAAAATAGCTCTGTGCTTCTATTACTACTAGTGCTTCAACTATTTGTTCCGGTCGGGGGTCGTCATCATTTGTAAGGCCTCCAAGAATGCGAAAAATCTTGCTTGGGTTTTGGGTTTGGACAGCTCTGGCATTCACTATTTGTATTTGGACAGCCAGTATGCCTTCGCATATAGGGCTCTGGGATCGGAAGTATGGAATATAACAAACGTGACGGCGATCGAAATCACACGTGGTCCGAATTTACTGGTCAGGATAGTTGCGAGCCGAAGAACAAGTTGCTCATAGTAAGCGGGGGCTGATTGGACCAATCCTTCGATATCCTCGGGAGTTAATAAACGATCGAGAGCTAGAGACCACGACACGCTCTTCCATTCTACGAACAATTAGCGAGTTACGAGCGTTGAAGTATTCCCAAGTCCGAACCCAAGTCACCTCAGACACTATACGTTTTTTTTTTTTTTTAATACACAGACACTGTACTTTTGAGCGAGTGCTACTCGCCAAGCGCAGAAAGTAGAAAAATGTTTTTGATATAGATATTAGTTTGAAAAATAAAAATAGAACTTAAAAGGAAAAATTAGCTTTTATAGATGTTTTACTGATTAAAAATTTTATTCCCTTTTAATTTTTTAAAACGAAATAAAAGGATGGAAACTGAAAGCATAACTATAGTACCTAATAAATTGCCTAACTTGAAAAAAAATAAATATTCATGTTTAAAGAAAATATGAACTTTTTAACCAAAATTTTGTAAAAAAATATTTTTGAATTTTATAAAAATTAAATAAATGTTAGATTTTTTGTTTACTCACATAATATCTTAAATAAAAGCCAATAATATATTCATAAAATAAATAATAAAAGTCATAACAAATTATACTATCGTAAATATTATTTATGAAGCATAAATAATATAGTTTATTTTGATATTTTTATACCATCCACATGACGACATGTTTGATTTTACATAAATTAATAGTAATAGACTAATAATATAATCTATACATTTGTAAAAAAACAAAATATTATTTTTTTAGTCATGAACAATATTATTTTTTATTTTTATATAACAGATGAGACTCACATTATATACATGTATATTACTCCCCCCCCCCTTCTAAATATAAAACTTAGTTAACCAATTCACGGATATTCGAAAAAAATTAGGTAACTTGATTATTTGCTATTAATTGTGTGTTATTTTTTTTTTTCCAAAATACCCTTTTCAATGAGAGCATTAAATGTGGAAGACCAAAACAGTTTTTTTTTGGTCAAAAAAAAAAACTGCGCAATTAATGAGGATAATTTTAAAGGACTATGGATTTTTTTATTTTATAAAGGGACCAAAGTTTTTTTAAAAGGAAATAAATGGAGGAAAATGTCCATAGATTGACATTTAGCTCAAATGAAAAGATAAGTTACGAATTCATGACTTCAAAAAATCATGGTCTTTTATAATAATTAATTTCTTTCCATAATTCTTATGTGTCATTTTAAAAAAATATATATTAAATGAGAGTGGCAAATAAATTTGAGTTTTTACAAAAGAAATCTGTTTAAATGTTTCGTTTAAAATTCAAAGGAATAGTGTTTTTTTTTTTTTGAAGTCAGTTGGAGGGTAAGAATCCACCTTCAACCAAACCCGGTGTTGGACTGTTGGGCCAAAAACCAGGATGAGTTTCAGGAAATGCAATGGCTCCAAAAGAGTATTTGCAGCAAGTCCCCCGCATTAAAAAACCACGGAGAATGTTTAGATGAAAGTAGACAGATGTTTAAAATCCCAACAGACCTTTCCCTTTCTGACAATAAAATTTTGCACAAAGTTCTGAGAAAACCACTTCAAATACTCACTGGCAAGAAAAAGGCAAGGGCTTGAGGTCCTGCGAGGTTGGTTAATGGGAGAAACCAAAAAGTAAGCCAGGACCTGGAGAAAGAAAGAGAAGGCGCAGAAGTTGGTTATTTTCAAAAAGAGGAGAAAGCTATTGATTTGTAGTTTGTTAATGAGGCGTGAGAAATAAAATTAAAAGGTGAGATTGGCAGCAGGAGAGAAGGGAGGGGCATAATGTCATTTTATTTTAATAAATAAAAAAGTTATCCCCAGTGTTCACTGTTCCCAAAACCATTCCCTTTTATTATAATCTTGACATTTTCTTTCCCAAGCATTTGAAAGAATCTTTTCTGACTACTTGCATTGACATTTCTCGACATTATAATAAATTGGACGTTTATAAATAATAAAAAAAAAATTCTCAACATTATACCCCTCTAATCCTATTTATAAAACACTCTTTAAAAATAATTTTTAATTTAAAATTTAATACACTTTATAATAATTAAATTATTTTTTAATTTTATTTTTAATTAATGTGAAGGTATTTAATATAATTATATTATTATTTAAAATTAATAATAAGAATAAAAGTGTCTCCCTTTTTTGATATTAATAAAAAAATTAATTTTTTAAAAATATATAAAATGATTAAAAATATTTTATAATAAAAACTAAAAAAATATGTTTATTTTTTCACTATTGATGTGTTTTTATTAAAAATAATTATATTTAAAATATGGTTGATAATTGAATGCAAACATCTCTCCATGAAATTCAAATTTTGATTTGACTTTGTGACGAATCAATCCAAGCTAGACCCTACTTTTGTGGGTAATATTATATATAGATATTAATCAAATGCATATAATATTTTTTTTCATTCAAATCTATAATATATTTTTAAATAAAATTATATATATCAATAATATTTATCAAAAACACTTTACAATCTTATTTGATTAAAATAAAAATTTAAAATTTAAAAATATTTTTAAAGTAATATTTTATTTATAAAAGAATATTAAATAAATATAATATACAGGGTGAGTGATATTAAAAAATTATTAATAACCTTTATTTTTGTCAAGAGTTAATATGCAACTTGAATCTTAAACTATAAATTCATGGATGATTTAAATTTTAAATTTTTAAAAGATATATTTTAATTTTTAAATCTTAAACAATTAAAGTTGTGACAATTTTGCCCACATTGTTAAATTTTAACAAACATAAGTCAAATTTTTAAAAATTAGGATCTAATATATAATTTTTATTAAACTTTACTCCCCCCTCTCTCCTATCTTTATTTAGTGAAAATCGCACGTTAAACTCCATTTTGATGGATGCTTGTCTAAATTTAGCGATGGGGACAAATCATCTCTAATAAAAATCCCAACTTTAATTGTTTTAAATTCAAAATATATTTAAAATTTAATATTCAAATCATCTTTAAATTAATAGTTCAAGATTTAAATTATATATTAATTTTTTTATCAAAATATCTTATTTTCTCAGATAACGAGTTGTTTTAAAAATGTCTTATAATTTTAAAATTTATAAATATTATTTTTATTTAATTATTATGACAAATATACTTGATCATAAATATAATTAATTGAATCATAAAAATTATGATTAAACGGCTTTTTGAATTCGGTGTGTGGTTTATTCTCATTTTAAAAACTGAGATGGATTGTCCAAAAAAAGAAACATTAGGAGTAGGTACAAATGAGAAGAAGAGTTGACAAAAGTACGATGGCAATGAAGAAGGGGCATGTGCAAAACTTTGGGGGCCCCGCCGGGGACGTAACTGGCGAAACACAGTGGAAAGAATGTCAAATTGGAGGGTCGAAGGCGAGAGAGAGTCTCTCCCTTTGTTAACCTCATTTTTTTTTTCCACTTCTTCCATCTCAATTATTTATATTATTTTATTAAATATTTTTTAAAAAAATTATAAAATTAATGAATGATTAAGATGGAGGAAGTGAAGAGAAAATGAGATAAAGAAAAGGAAAAACCCTCTCTCAAAAGAAGGATGATGGAGTTAATGCCATCCTGTGCTACTAAAAATGAAAGAGACCTCTAAATCATCAAATCAATATGACGACTATAACACTTTTGTTTTATTATTTACAAGTATTTTTTTATTAAAAATAATTATGTTTGAGATACGATTGAACATTAAATGTGAGTAATTTTGGTCAATAAGAATTTAAATTTTGATTCATTACATTAGAAGGGACTAGCTCATTTTGACCCAACCCCTATTAGTTATATGATGACTATGTTATTGTTGAAGCAATTAAATTTTCTAAGATAATTAAATTAATGACAATTAAGTTTGAAAAAATGATACTAAAATTTTATCAAAATATATAAATAATAATCTCTCGAAATATCATGATTTTTGAAGTTCTTGAAAACTTTTATGACAATAATGATCTAAAGTTAAATGACTAAATTACCTCTTATTTAAGATAAAAAAAAACAAGTTCATGTAGGAAGTTGTGATTTTTTGTTCAATTTTTGTGATTCACAAAATAAAAATTATCATTGCTTAAACAAAAGTTGTAAATAATTATTTTCAACACTTGAATTTCAATGATAAATTTCATGTGAGAAATTATATTTTTTTATTTAATTTTTACAATTCACATAATAAAAATTTTAATTGTTTAAACAAAAGTCGTGATTGATTATTTTTAAAATTTGGACTTCAATAATAAAAAAAATTTCATGTGGCAATTTGTAAGTTATCATTCCTTTGTGATTAGGACTAGTTATTTTCAAAAAGTTATTTACCAATCATAAAAAATTTTTTTTATGAAAAGTTATGATTTCTTATTTAATTTTTATGATTCACAGAACAAAAATTGTGACTATTTAGACGAAAGTTGTAATAAGAAAAATGGAGACAAAATCATTATTTTTATTTTAAATAAGAGACAATTTAATCATTTAACTTAAAATCATTAATGTTAAAAGAATACTTAAAAATTTTAAAAAAATTATGACATTTTAAAAAACTTTATTGTCATTTTTACAGTTTGGTGGAATTTTATTGTCATTTTTTCATTATTTTTTTATTTTTAATAGAAACTGTAAATGTTGATTTGTTCAATTATAAACAGGAATCTTGATTATAATTTGAGAGTTATAATTAAAATTTAATTTTTTTTTGTTTGAATTAATATTTTTAACTCATATTTTCATAAAATTTTATGAAGAACCTAATTATTATTAATTCAAGTTTTATCAGTAACATTTAACCATAATTTTCTCTTAACTGGCAATACGATTACCATCATCCTCATGCCATTGACTGTTAGCGTGCTACACAGGTCGATAGTCGAGGAAGCATGAATTAAAAGTGGAGCAAGCATGACGTACAAGGGGAGCAAGTGGGTGCTTTTCTTGGGGAAACACCCAGCTTTGTTACGTCATTTCCCTCTTACTCTTTTCCCCACCCATGGGTTGTGGCTATACCAGTAATAATGCATCGAATCCTATCAGAATTTTGCAATTAAGCGTGCTTAAATGAGAATAATATTAGGATAGGCAATATCCTGAAAAGTTATTATGTTGCATCCATCCTTTTGCATTTTTTGAAATTGTGGGGTCCCAATACTTGGGGGAAAACCACCCCCACCCTTCCCCCCCAAGGTACCCTTAAGCAGAGGCCATCCTCTACCGGCAGCACCCCCGCTTTCTTCTGTTGATACTAAAAAATCCCCCCACCCCCCAACCCAAAATATGACAACGATTCCGTAAGTTCTCTTGTCGTGAAGAATTAGATTGCTATTCCACATTGTTCAGTAAAATGAATCTCACTTTTAAATTCCGTTCCAAAAGATACAAGACACTCGGTTACATTGATCAAACTGGATTTGGTTCCTCAAACCTCGATTATCCCAAAACAAAAAGGTGGTTAGTTTTGCAAAACTTGAAAAAAAAAAATGAATTTTTCCAACACTATTTTCACCGAGGCAGTGCCAGACATGCATTAAATAACCGTCTTAATCAAGCAATAAAGCAATTACCATTTTAAAATTTTAACAAAAATTATTTTTAAAATGAGTCTACATACTACAATATGTAATTAAATATCATTATATTATTACAGTTACACTATTCAACACATTTTTTAAAACTTGTATACATAACTCTGATGATGTAAACAACAGATATTTTAAAACGACAGAAGCATCCATATAGGACCCCCCTCGTTCCATAATTTTAAACATTGTCCGTTATCATCTATAGTTCATAGCCTGGGAACCTGGAATTGTGGGGAGCAAGCAGATCAAACCAAAGGCATGCAGCCCCGGCCAGACCTTGGAATAGAGAGTACGCACTGCTTCCCCCTCCGGTTTGGCCCTCCGGTCTAAGAGATTTAGTCCGATCGTACAAGCAACCACCAAACACTTTTGCTCTCTCTTCATACATATACTCTCCTGTTAGTTTATAGAGGGAAAGGAAGGCGTATGCATTTCCAGACACACCATCGGCAAGTCCCAACCTCTTCACCAGTCCACTCTTCCACACAACTTCCCCTGCTTCTATTGCCGCATCTCGGAATTCCCTGTCATTTGGGAACACCTGAGGGCAGAGAACCACGGTAATGACCAGATATTCTTTTGCAGAAACCAGATATCAACCATGGCACGAAGGCGCATTTTAGGTAATGAGTGAAATTCTTGCATGCACTCTGTGCTAGCTGGTTCAACAAGGAGCAGATGAGAAACTACCCAAGCTGAATGTTTTAGATATTAACACGCCTCTGCTGATGAGTTTCTCATGATTCTTTGCATATCCAGCTAGTGATGTGCACGCAAGAATCTCCCAACCCCTGAAAGAAAAAAGCTCTGCAGGACAATTAGTATTGGGTAGCATACCTGTGCTGCCTTACACAAGGTGATGGCCATGCCAGTGGCACCATGAGACCATTGCACCAATTTATCCCGAGGATTTCCTTCGCTTGAGGGGTAATTTCCACTGTGAGGGAAGCGCTTACTCGTAAGGTATCTCAAAGTTCCTTTGACGTCCTCAGCATCCTCTTCAGGAAGAAGGAAATGAAGAAGGACATGCAAGATACCAGCGAGGCCATTGGCCGCGCCGAGGTACCTGGTCCCATGCCATCTATACATCAATGGACAGTCAGTGTTATTAGATGCCCCTGCCCTACCACCAGCCAACACAGCAGCTATTATGGGCATCAGAATATCATTGGGCACTGCGTCTTCTCCAAGATGCTTCTTTATGAATGAAGCAGCCCATAAAAATCCTGCTCGCCCGTACAGAAGATCATATGACATTCCAAAACCACCTTCCTCAGGTCCAACAGGTAGAGCTCTCTCTGTTGCTACCTATGAATAAATTATCAGTTATCATGCAGATTCTCAGACCACCATCCATCCCAAAGAACAAGTGCCTACTTGATGACTACAATAAGCCTGAGATTGTATAATTAGCTAATAAAATAAAGAAATCTTGCTATCTGAAAATTGATCACCCCATGCTTCCCCCCCCCTTCTCCCTTCTTGTCACGAACTTCACATCAACTTTGACGCCCAAGGATTCTGGTTTAAGTCATTTATTATCGCATTTCTTTTGGGTGCCATGGAGTTGGATCCAATGATGAGAGAATCCAAGCGTGGTCCAATGAAAAGAGAACATATGCCAGACACTAGAAAAAGCGATTCCATATGACATCTCTCCATTGGCTTGCCCAACCAAAAGATTCCTATAGATAAAAAGGCTCCCTTCAACGTGACGCCAAGGTCAAGTTGCAGGGCCGCACAACTGGCTAAAAAACAAGCATAAAAAATGCATCGGTGAAGAAGAACCACAAATGAAGCCAACATGAAGCCAATGCAGATATTTTGGTAAAGTAAAACAAACTATTCCGCGGATTTTCTTCAAAACATGCCATGGTGGCATGATCTTATCTTACCTCATTGAACAAACCCAAAAACAGGTCCCGCTTTCGATTGTTGCCCATGTAATTAGCCACCAAGGCACCAAGAGCGTAAAGACCGCCTCTACCGCACAAAAACGTCACATGCCTGCAACCCGTGGTATCCTCCCAATTAGAGATGAAAATACAGGAATAAAAGAAAACCTAATTAAAATCAAAAAAAATTACGCGGATTTCCCCAATGTCTAGATGAAAAATTAATTTCCAATTCAATTTAGCACATGCAAATTTTAGATGATGAGAAATATATATATATATATATTTTTGGTAACAGATGACAAGAAATATATTTGTTTACTAAAAGAAGATGCCAAGGGGAAAAATATGTCGTGCTCGTGCAATTTAACAAAATTAAAATATTTTTTTGAATGATTATAAAAAATATTTCTTTGAAAATATAGGATAATATTGTTTTTATGACAATAGGATCAAAGGTTTTGAGGAGACGGATTTCTTAAATAGTACTATTCGGTAAGGCCAGATGAATTGGAAATTGGCAACGCAGATGACCTGGAAGGTTTTCAACCACCAATTATGGGGCAAACTGGGAAAAAATCAGAGATATTGGACTGTTTGAAACTATTTTTATTTTATTGTTTTGAGATTTTTTTTTGTAGAACATGTTTCAAGAATAAAAAAATAATAAAAATAAGTGTTTTTTTCATTCTTCCTTATTCTTCAAAACAATAATTACAGAACATCTTAAAAGTTCTCCAAAATACTTTTTAAAAATACATTACCAAATAAATTTTTTTTTTCTATTGTTCTGAAGAAAAAAAAAAAACTGTTTTCAGAATAGGTTTCAAACAAGCCTATTAAAGCTGACTAATTACTACCTTAGAGCCTCCATCGCTGATATGAAAAGCTGGAAATATATAGCAAACTAAGATAATGCAAACTTGCTGTAACAATCTCCCCCAAAACTTGTTAAGTTCACAGGTAGAAAAGAAAACCGCGGTGATTACAGCAGTCAGAAGGCACATGGTTTGGACTATTATCTACGAGCAACTTGATCCAGTAGATTTTTAGAGCCTATCTCTCTATCATTGTCTGCCAATTTTGTGTATTTTTTCTGGCATGAAGGTACTGTATTCATCTCACTTTAATTTGACTTTCGGTCATAATCAATTAATCATCATTAATCTCCGAAAATGATATGAAAACTGAAAATATCTAGCAAAATTAGAAAATCATATTTTAAATCGTCTAAAATTTTTCGATAAAAAAAAATTCATACTAGTCATGCAATAAACTCCCACAATACTTTAGGACCATTGGCCAGAACACAATAAAACATCCGCAGTAAAAGCATCAAGGTTTTCCAAACCACCAAAATAGAAAGAAACGAAGAGCATTTAGATTTTAGATTAGAAGGGTTTTAAATTCTTATATTGCAGCAGCCGTGACCTCCAAACAGATATATACCAAACTAACAAGCCCCGACGAAAAGTGCTGCTGCATTCCAGAATCACGTTACACAGCTTTCACACTGCATCGCCCAATTTTTCTAACTAGTTTTTAAAATATAAAATTGAAAAAAGATGAAGAGAGGATGGCATGCTGAAATAAGTTCAATTTATACTTCCCTCCCTCAACCCTTTCTGTCTTTTATTATGCAAAAGATTTGGAGGGTCCAAATTCATTTTCGCAGCCAATGAATGAATTGAAACGGATGGAAGTTACCTGAAGGAGGCACGTGCAACGGTAGCACACGTGTCCACGATCTCCGAGCACAATAGCAAGTCACGTTTGTCACCGGTGACCTCGTACGATCTCAGGCAGGTAAGAGCCGTGCCGAGCAGACCCGAGTAAACCGTCGGGTCCACCACCAGTTCCGTACGGTCGCCTCCGCCGAGGGCTTCTCTCCAAGTAAGTTGCACCGCCTGTGCAGAACAGTTCAGGCAGAGTCGCCGAAGCACGAATTTTCACGCATAGTAACCACAGAGCACATGGCAGTTACCTGATCCTTGAGGGAAATTGCCGCTCTGAGAAAAGTCTCGTTGGGAAGTGACAGGCTCTTAGTTGTCAGATTCATGTGTTCAGTGGCGAAATCCAACGATTCGCTCTTGCCATCACCGTGACCATCGGCGGACCGAAACTCTAAAACCGACGATGTCATTGTCTGATCTGAAATTCTGTTGTGGGTTTGGCAATTGCGAGAAAAGAAGATGGAGCACCGAACAGATATCTACTCTCCCTGGGTTCGGGACATGAGGGGCAATAGGCCCTTAAGACGGCAAATCGGTTACCATTTAGGAATATGTCGAGTTGTGGTTCTATGGATTGACGGTGCATTTGGGGACGCTACGCCCGTGTGCCACGTCGCCAATATGTCTGAGGAGAAAACGTGACCGTTTGATGCATTACAAGCGCGTGCTGCTTCTGGGTAAGATTTTTTATGATTGTCAGAAACCGAAACGAGAAGAGGGTCGGATCTGGAACCTCTCAGCGTCTCCCTTCCCATTATCCCTCGGAGTCCTTAATCTTGGCCGTTCAAATAATCTGGAGCTTCAAAATGCTCCCCGCCCCACCCCGGCAATGTTTTTTATTTTTTTTGAGGATGACAATAAAGACCAAAAAAGAAAGAAAAAAAGAAACTAATAATAATTACAGCTTCGACAAAAATTGATTTGTGAGATAAAATTATTCAAATAATGATAAGCAAAAATTTTAACTATAAATTAAAATTTACTTTTCAAAATTTAAATATTTTACCAAGCTTTAAAAAAAAAAAGAGGAATGGCAATACTAAATTTTTTTAAATAAACTCTTTATCGTTCAAATACATATTTTGAAAAAGAGGATGACAGTTAAGCCGTAAAAAAGGGATTTATTAATAGTTAAGTTCCCAATGATTTTTTTAAAAATAAATTGTAAATATTTATTTAAATAATTCCAAATTTAAAAATTTTAAATACAGAATAAAATATTTAAATTTTAAATATACTTTTAAATTTATTGTTGGAAGTAATGTTTGTAATTATCTAAATTAATTTTTACTATTTATTTTTTATAAATTTTTGTCTGGTGTAATTATCATTAGTTTTTTTGGGCTTTGCTATCATCCTTCCTTTCTAAAAGCCTCATGATATACATGGAGCATTATAACTTATATTCTTACAAGCATTCACATTATTTAAATGACCAAGATTAAGCACGCTAAGAGACAACGAGAAAGGAGACGTTGAGAGGAGATTCGAAGAGGATGTAACTTAACATTGTAAAATGGTGCCATTGTATGTGATTTCGTATTGTAGCCTTGTGTATATGTAACTTAACATGTATGTATGTATATTTGTGGCCAGAGATTTGTAGCCTTGGAGGACCAGCGAGCAGCGACCACGTGAAATTCGTGAGTAAATGTGAGCTTTTCTTTTAATCTGTCGTTGTCGTGAACTCGTGATGTCTTCCCTGCACCTTCCTCCTCGTGTAGGGGGGAGGGAAATAAAGTATCTTAGACAGGGTGGGACCAGCTTTAAATTTCGAGGGAGCCAAAACGCTTCACTCAGTTTTAAAATTTTTAAAATAATAAAATAAAAACAATTTCAAATAACCCTACAATCTCACCTGTTTTTATTCTCTACTTTCCCTTTCTTTATCTCAAAATTAAGTTACAGTAATATACAATTTTCGCCCCCAGTTAAATTTTACTATAAATGAGAGAGAGAGAAATTGATGAATTACTCTGCAATCCTCTTATACACACATGACTTTCCATTGAGGTTTTGAAAATTAATGCATTTCTCTTATTTTACTTTCTCTTAATCACAATGTATGACTCTTATAGAAAGGAGAATGACAACGAGCTCTTAGAGGGAGAAAGAGTGCAGTGAGGGCTCTAAACAACTTAAGATTTATCTATATAAAAGTTGGTTGATGAATCTATAGCTGTACAAGGATATGTTTAGGGCCCTCACCCGATCAATGTAAAATATAAGGCATTAGATATGTTTTATATATATATATATATATATATAATTATACATTTACTTTATTATATTCCATTTAAGTAATTATCAATGGTTTCTGAAATAAATCAAATATTTTATTTATTCAACACAAGGGTATGATTAGAAATGTGCAAAGATTTTTTAAAAATTAAAAATTTAATTAACTTTTTAAAAAATGTAAATTAATTTATAATAACTTTTATCATAATCTAAAGGGAGTAATGGAAAAATGGATTTGCCAATTTGGAGAGAGAGAGAGAGAGAGAGAGAGGTGAGAGAACTTAGATTTTTATTGGTGGAACTTCACAGTTCGGATGGGGAGTAGTGGATTTTTCGTTCTTGTTTTTTATTTTGGCATCGATAGCGAAGTGCTATGTGTCACGGATGATATTTCCGTGACCGTGTAAAGACCAAGATAATGAACGGTCCGCTGGTTAGCCTCGCACAATATGGGTAAAGGGGGCGACATTAGCATTGGGGGTGTTATGCCTCAGTCTTCGGACTGTGTGCACAACTGGTCGGGGGCTAGTGCCGCCTCCCTGATGAGCCCATGGCAGGGCGAAACCAGTGTGATCCGTACGTGGTAAGGCTTGTCCTGAGGATTATGGGGTCCTCCAGGACGCCGCACGGGCGCCGTGTGCTGCGCCAGACTCTCAGCCCGTGACAGAGTGGTATCAGAGCAGGACGTACTTTACTGTCGTGTGCGCGTGGGGTCCCACGTTGGGACTGGTCGGCCTCGGCACCGCTCCAGAAAGGCCTCCGAGCAGGTGGGTCCAAAAGTGGGGACTCGGGCGGGAAGGTTGGCCGTTGTTGACTCCACTCCTGTTGGCTCGCGGGTGCGAGTGGGTCCAAAGAGTGCAGGACTCGGGTGGCCACTCAGCAAGTAAGCTGGTGTGTTTGTGGCAGTACTGTACGTACGATCCTTGGGCGGAGTCGTTCTCCCCTAGCACGAGGGCGTGCTAGATTAGGTGTGGGAGAATGTCACGGATGATATTTTCCGTGACCGTGTAAAGACCAAGATAATGAACGGTCCGCTGGTTAGCCTCGCACAATATAGGTAAAGGGGGCGACATTAGCATTGGGGGTGTTATGCCTCAGTCTTCGGACTGTGTGCACAACTGGTCGGGGGCTAGTGCCGCCTCCCTGATGAGCCCATGGCAGGGCGAAACCAGTGTGATCCGTACGTGGTAAGGCTTGTCCTGAGGATTATGGGGTTCTCCAGGACGCCGCACGGGCGCCGTGTGCTGCGCCAGACTCTCAGCCCGTGACATATGGCTCAAAATCTATACCTTTGTTAAAACTTGAAAAAAACCCCGCGGGGAAAAGATGGGAAGGCCCCACCCATGTGGCTCCGCCCTTAAGAGTTTAAATGAAATCTCATTGCAAGTGTGTGAGTCCTATTCTTCTTATTCTATTTATAACTTATTTATAACATGATTTACTGAAATTTAAGAAACCTTAAAATTTATTAATTTTATTAAAAAAACAAATGAGTGAAGAAATAAAGATGCTCCAAGATAGACGCGTATAATTTTTTATTTATTTATAAGAATATGCTTGTACTTACGTGCACACTGTCAAGTTTCAAGAAACAAAGATGATGTTCCGGTCAAAAATGAAAATAAGATATTGGAAAGTGCCTCAAAAAAGGATGTTCGGTATTTTCTGTGAGGCAAATTGGCGAAACCAAAAAAAGGGCTTTCAGTACGATGAGACACGAGTAGGACGAGTAGGGAGAAATACTTACACACACTAGTTGCACCGTATCATTTACAGTTTATTAAATTAAAATATTTTAAATAATTTAAATAAAATATTATATAATATTTTTGATTGATTTTGTTTTGATAACATAATACACATTTGATTTTTTTTTTACTATTATTAATATTAAAATTAATTTATATTTAATATTATCTAAATCTTAATTTTTTATTGATTACCCAAACCTCTTTTGGTGAGTAGGAGCATGCCAAATTCAAATTGTTGGCGTACAAGTGATGACAAGAATGTAAACAACTTGAGGAATGACTATGGATGTGGAGGAGTGAGATTCAGACGCTCGTCATTGGAAATGGAAGGTTCCTTTTTGTGAGTGTGAGTACTTTTTCTTCTAATAAGATCGCCAAATCTTCGTAGCAAAGCTCTTCTCTTTCGCGAGTTATTTTCCGGATCATCAAGCTGCGACTCGTCTATCTCATCTGGAATTACTATATCTCCATCTATTTCATCGAATATTGAACCCTTGAGATCATCATCATCTGTTTCTTTGATGGGCTCCTCGTTTCCTTCCCTATGCGGTTGTTTATGGGGGGCTATGATTTCCTTCAGATTGAAACTGATCGTTTTGCTCAGACTCTTGACTTCTTTGTGCTCCTTGTCGCCTTCTTTATGCGTCTTCCCTTTACTCGTTTCCTTAGCAGCTGGTTTTTCCTTCTCCTCGTTATTTTTCAACTCCCTTATGGGCGCTTCAGCGAGCAACCTCTTCAACTCTCTGATATTCTCAAATGCTGCCGCTTCATGAATCTTGAGCATTTCGTTCTCGTGGGTAAGCATCTTCACCGCTTCGTCCCTCGCTCCTAACATATCTTTGAGCTGAGAATTCTCAGCCTGAGCAATCCCAGCAGCTTCCTTTGCAGCATTGGCTTCATTCAATGCTTGTTTAAGGATGTCTCGTAGCTTCTGATTTTCTTCCTTTGAAACCCGAACCTTGTTCTCTGATTCTTTAAGCATTTCTTGCAGTCTCCTGCATTCTTCTTGTGCCGTTGTTCTTTCCTCTTCAGCTCTTTTAATGCAATTCACGAACTCCTTTGTTTTCTCGTTCCATGCCAAGAGAGACTCTTCAGCCTCCAATCTCAATCTCTCTGCCGTGTTATTGTTTCTTTCAGCTTCTTTTCTTGCTTCTCCTAGAAGCTGTTTGTAGGTGTCCTCTGTTCTATTTAATAGCGCTTTCAAATGCTCTGCTTCCTCTTTGCGGTGTTGCAGCTCCACTTGGCTCTCTACTAATTTTTCTTTGGTCTGGCGAGACTCTGCGGCCACTTCTTTAAGCGCTAATGCCAAATCATCCATGGCCTTCTTGCTATTATCTTCCGCCTTCATGGCTAACTTGAGTTCATTTTTGAGGTAGTTTAATTCTTCAAGTAGATTTTTGGCCACATTGTCTCTCTCTTCTCCCTCGGCTGCTAACTCCAATTCGTTTCTGAGTAAGCTCATTTGTTGAAGCATAGTTTTGGCCCCCATGGGATCGAGTTCGTCACATCCTTCAGCATATTTCAACAAATTTTCGCTTTCAACTTGAACTCCCTTACCCTCCTCTGTTTTCTTCAAGGAAAGTAAGGGTTGGGATTCATTGCTGCATGGCGCAGATTCCTGAATCTTCACCACTTTATCTCCAAGAGAAGCAATCTCCGGCTTCGATTCTTCGAAAAGAACCTTGTTTACATCAAGTTGTTTTTTTTGCACCACCAACGCCTCATAGAGACTCGCTTCGGATGCTCTACTTTTGTCCAGCTCGTCCTCCAGTTCATGAATCCGCCTCCTGCACTCAGAAAGCAAGTACATTGCGTCCTGCTCAAACGCTCTAGCATCATCCATCTCCTTCTTCATTTCGTCCAGCGAAGCCTGTTTCTCCGCCAATCGGAGTTCAAATTCCTTATTGGCTTCCTGCTGCAATGACTCTGCTATGTTATTCTCCTTCATACCATCTTGCTCCTCCATATTCGATATCGCATCCTTCGTTGAAGAATTTAACCCTGTTTTCAGCTCTGAAGGTTTGTTGGGGGGTAATGCTTCATCAAACCTTGAATTAGCCTCGTCGTCCATTTCTCTCACCCCATCTGATACTGCATCCTTCGGTGAAGACAACTCTGCTTGCGAGTTTGGAAAATTCTTACTCAGTGACGCTTTGTCTTGTATTGAATTAGCTTCTTCATCCGTTCTTCTCACTTCATGCAATGTAGGGTCCTTCGGTGAAGAATTTAACCCTATCAGAGGCTCTGACTGCGCTTTTGCAGTGGACGCTACATCGAACCCTGAGTCAGCATCCTCGTCCATTTTTCTAACCTCGTCGAGGTCATAGTAGGCACAGTCTCTTTCTTCCTCGACATCAGACAATTGCTCCTTCTTCTGATCCAGCTTGTCCTCATGTTTCACAACATGATCCTGACGCATCCTCGAAATCTTGCCAATTTATCCCACAAAATAAATTCTTCGCCGGAACCACCTAGGGTGTTTCGAAACAAGCCCAGTCAGCTTTCAGAGCGAAAAACAATTCCAGGATTTGTTGCAGAAAACTAAGAGACTAACGCAAAGTCCAGGCTTAGAATTGTGATAGCGCCTGTAAAGATGGAATCACAGGGATGTGTCCCAAATTGAATGCACGAAACAATATTTTCCAGGTGCAACGTCATGAGCATGAAACAACGGACATCAAAGAAAAATACGAGCATGCCCAAGACCAAAGATCAGAGTAGCATGTAAAAAAGTGGATGGAATTGAAGGAATAAAAAAACTACCTGGATTTTGCAGGTAGAAAGTACGATCTAAGATGAATCCTCGTTCAGAAATTTTTTACTCTCTCTGTTTTTTTTTTTTTTGAATTTTTGAGAAGATGAGAATAGCATCAACTGGAAAATCGCATGCTAATGGGAGCAATGAGATGGAGGTCGTGTGTTTTTGGAGAGGTGCGAAGATGGCGGGTTTCCCCCAAGGAACCTACGGCCTGGGAGATTAGAAATGGTCTGACGTAGAAATTTGATCATAGAATTGAACAGACTCATGAGAATCAAGTTGGAATTATTAAAATCTTAAACATAATATGCGTCGTTGTTACTTACGTGGCAGTTGGAATAAACCAATGCCTCTCATCGTGGATCGGTATTACACATGTTGTATGTAGACAAGAGTCACAGGACTGGTAACGTCTCAACATTGTAATTTTCATTTTCTTATTTGGCAGCTCTTAGCCGGCTTACATAGTCCAAGTCGTCGAAGAATGTTCTTACGCGTAAGAGTATACACGTAATTTGTTGGATCAAATAAGATGTATATATTATTATCACATTCTTTACTGTTTTCTCCATTATTTTTTCTAAATATGTGTCACGCAGTTAAATTTATGCTAGTCATAGGTCGCGGAATAGTACGTATACTTTTCTTTTAATTGCTTGTTTTTTCCTTCTTCTGCCTCATTCCACAACTAATTTTTTTAAATATATGTATATATAATTAAGTTTAGAAAAATGAAATGAGGAAAGGTTTGGCTTAATGCTTTAAGGTTCTAGATGTTCTATATGGTAGTAAAACCGAATCATGGAGGTTTGATATACTTTGACATCTCCAGTAGTTCATGGTAGTTGATGCGTTGACAAAAATTCCCAGTTCTCCAAAACCTTGGCATGGCTTTGCAATATATATATATATATATATATCATGCTATATTTCTAATTTAACATGGATGAACACTTATTTTGAAATTATGAGTTCTCTTTACTCAACAAAATTATGAGTTTTCTAGTTGTGGGAATAATAATTGAATCATTGAAATTTATTCAATTTCATAATTAAGATACTTACTCCATTCAAAAGTTGAATGGAGTAGGTTGCTTGATTCTTATTTGATGACTAATCTGGATCACTAACTTGTTTTGTCTGCTTTCCTCATTTCAGCGGACTACATATAGCGAAGCATGTCGATGGGGAAACAAGCACACGTGTGTGTGTTGCAACACGACACTCTCGCGTGGGAACAGATCCTTCCATTCAGCTTTTGAATTGAGAACAGGCTCCAGTCAACATTATTGCCATAGTTCCTTTCATCGCGTGGTTAATATTTTGCTACATGTATTGCGTATCTTGCTTCGAGAAAAGCAAAATAAAATGTCTTAGGGGGGAAAAATGCTCAATTAAAGCTGGGTTTTGAAAAGGGCTCCAAGAAGTAGTATAGTGCAGATTTGTAATTAAAAAAGCTTCATTTAAAAAAAAAATGAACATATTCTCTCCAATGCTATTTATAAGTAATTTCTACTAATTTTATCAATACTAATATAAAAAAATACAAGAAATAGAGAAATTTTAAATATAATTCTTAAGTAAAAAACAAAAGGTAAATAAATTATATAATATTACTTTTTAATGATAGTTTGGGTATTTCAATTTGAACCAAAACAATATTATTTTACTAATGACTTATAAAGTGGACTATATCATGCTTTTAAAAGGCATCTAATATACATAATTAGAGAGAGTACAACACAGAGTAACCAATTACTCCTTTAGTAGAATTTGTCCAATTGTACTAATTAAGGAAGGGAGTTAAGAGGAAATTAAATCATTAAATCACTTAAAAGGTTACAACGTAGCAATTTCTAAAATTGCCTTTATTAAATTCCAAAGAAAACGAAACTATCCACACACACATGCATATTGAAACTTTAGCTATAGGATTTATTGTCAGGCGAAAAGACTTAGAATGCGTTTGATGGTAGATGAATTTAAATTTTTAGTTTAAAATCTCTCATTCAAAATTTTATACTTAAAATCCATGCATTTGAATTTTTTTGAATAATACAAAAAATTTAAATCATGCTCCTCCATTTAAAAATATAAGACATTTTTTGAGGAGTTAGATGTTCTAAAATGTAAGATATTTTTAATATTTTGAGATGTAATCATTGCATTTTTTTTTTCAAAAGTTCTCCTATTGATAATGACTTTATATTTATTTTAAAGTATTTAATAGAAGTAAATATGAAAAGATATGATTAATTAAAAAGTAAATAATTACTTTATTGAGAGATAAAATTCAATTAAAAATGCCTTACATTTTGAACGGAGAGAGTAGTAGCTTATAATTCTCTGTCTTCACATATAAAATAACTAAATTAGAGTGGGTATTTGAATAATGATTAGGTCATAAAAAATTTATAATAATAAATTTAGTTGGATTTAGATTTGATATAAATTAATAAGTTTACATCCAACTAAATAATGTATTCAGTCAAAATCTAAATCCAAATATTTCATTATCCAAACATACCGTTATATGTCGCGAGAGTACTATTTACTAATAATCACCTCCCAAACCATGCAAGTAGTCATCCAGTAAGTTACTCTGGAAATCAGGGCTTGCACATGAACAGGCAATGGAAAAATGAAGACCTGATCTAGTGTGTGCAGTTACATTTGATTTTCTCCTCCTCCACTCCCGAGTCTATAGTTCCTCTTCCATTTGTAACGGAGCTAGTTTATCTACGCTCACTTCTTTCTAAAGATGGGATGATTTGTTTTTTTCCCTCTCCGTTATAAACAGTAAAAAAATTACTTAAATGCTTTCGTATTTAGATAAATACCTTTCTCAGCATGCAATTGGATAATTTTTTTTTGAAAAAATTAATTTTTTAATTCTTCAACTTTTAACTTACTTGTAATTCAATTTCTCAATTATAACTTACTGCGACTCAATCCCTCAACTATAACTCGCCTATAATCTCTCAACTTTTGATACACTTTTAATCCAATTCCTCAACTTTTATTAGCTCTTTTTTATATTAGTTTAGATCCCACATTAAAGAGCAAGGTGAGGGTATTTTAAAGCAAAATGTGAACATTTCTTTTATCTATTTTATTTGATAAGAAAATTTTTTTGAAAAAAAATTAAAAAATAAGGATTGAGTTAGAAGTGAGACAAAAGTTGAGGGATTAAATTATAGTGAATCATAATTGAAAGACTGAATTATAATGAGTTATAATTGAGAGACTGAATTATAGGTGAGTTAAAAGTTAAAAGGTAAAAAAATTAATTTTTTTTATTTTTTTTAATTCTTCATGGCATACAGGTGAAAAAGCCCCTGAGACATGAAACATTACACATTTCAAATTAAGAAAAACATCATCATTGCCCCCAAAACATCATCGTCCAAATCGAAATTTCATCATCCTTGTTCCACCGCTTGCAGTCCACGCAATCAGCTGTGAATGCACACAGACTCCTTGGTTCGGACCACAGCCCTGAGAATGAGTGGAAAATGAAAAATAAATATTATCCGCAATCTCACTCCAAAACCATGTTCCAAACTTCCGATATAGTATACCATCTTCCTTTGATGCCTCAACACAATATACCACGACCCTCGGGAAATGCTTCTCCCATCCGCCGCGAAACTTGCCGATCAAGCCTCGCCAAACTCTCATGGATGTCCTTTGATTTGATCCCTGCTTCAATTCATCGCCGCAAACTCTCTGCCAAAAGACGCCGGAAAAGCCTGCGTCGCTGGTTTGTCGAAGGGGAACCAACTTCTAAGTTTGATAAGATTTTGAACAGCCGCGAGGGGAATGAGATCTTCAAATTCCATGGCGCAATCATCGCATTTTTTGATGGACTGAACTTAACATGCGTCCAACAATTCGCCTAACCATACCTGTTCTTTTTAATTGTGGGCTGTGCTTCGGAGCCAACTTCTTGCTCTTTTGGACATTGTCGCCCTTTTTTTCCCCCCTTCAACCTTAACATTGGGCATTCTCACATTTAATTTTATGCCACTTGACATGAAATAGGGACCCGAGAAGAAGAAAAAAATTAAACATGATCTGCAAAATGCACTCTTAATGATATGTTCCATCTGTTTTATTACGTACTCCCCGTTTAATGCCTCTAAATTATTTATTATAATACGTACTTAAGTGGCTAGTAAATTATTTCAAGAGTAAAGCAGGAAAGATATTATTTAATATTGCTTTGGAATTTTGAAAAAAAAAATGTAATATGAAACAAATTTTTTACCTCAAGAAATAGATGTAATCAAACGGGGGGAAGTATATATAACATTAAAAATTATAACAGGTTACATTAATCATCATTGGCCATAAATAACATGACTTGTTATTTGAAGTATGTGGGCGGTGCCATGAGAAACCGTACCAATCATGACTAATTCACCAAGTAGTGTTTCTGGACTATCTTACTATTGATTACAGATCCAAGGCAGGACATAGAATTAGTTTGGTTAGGCCATAAGTTAGGCTCATTTTGAAATGCAGCTCAATAGATTAATTAATCAATTTTCAGGGTTTAACGGAGTCTCTTATGGACTTTCGGTTTCTTGCGTGATTATCTCTAACGCGTTCTACAATTTTCCCCCCTGGAGAGTGTATAGCGTCCTTGTTGATTCAGTGGCAATGAAAAAGCGGAAGAGATGTTTTAAATTTTGAAGGGCCAATTCAATGACGTCAAAAGCAGATGGGCAGGAAACAAAAACAATAAGAATCATTTTCATCCTTCAATTTTAATTGAAAGGCTAATGGATATCTTGAACTTAAACAATATAATCTATTATGTTCCTCAACATAATTAGTTCTTTCCCTAAGTACCTTGAAATTAACTTGTCGTGCCTTGATCATTAGTAAGCCTTGCATTATATTTTTTTTTTAATATTTTTATTATAAAGTATTAAATTAAGGATTATTTTTGCTCTTCAACTTTATTCTTGAAGAGTTAATGGGCATTCCGACCTCAAATATTTTATAATAAAAAATAAGGTTAAAGATCATTTTTTCCTTCAATTTTACTTGAAGAGTTATTGGGCACCTTAAACTCAATCATAGGTCAATCTATACTTTAACATTAAAGATTATTTTTCTCGTCATCCTGTGGAGAGCCACATGCCTACATTTACTTGTTTAATATCTTGCATGATAAAATATTTGAATTCAGGATGTCCAATGACTTTTTAAAGTAAAGTTA